TTATTATTATTATTATTTGGCATTCCTATGGCTGGGGTCAAGCTTTCTAGTTAAAAGAGATTGAGAAAGCAAATATTTGCCTCAAGCAAAGTTAGAGGGCAAGCCAGGTGAATGCTTTATTAGTTCAGTCAAGTATTGCCGACTTTGATACAGCTGTGATTTTGTTTCTCTTTCACAGATTGGAACTTCTTCTGTAGTATATCCTGCTGCTATGTTTGCTCCTCAGGTATCTGCCAGGGGAGTGCCAGTTGCAGAATTCAACATGCAGAGCACTCCAGCAACGGATAAATTCAGGTAACACCTTTTGTTGTTATAGTGAGATCCTGTTTTTGCAGCAATGTAAATAGAATTGGAAGGATTTATAAATGCTTGTTAGAAAGACAAGGTCATCTTCTAGTTTATAGTAGTTTGTTATGTCTTCTTGGCAGTACTATAGAAGTCCATGGAAAAACAAATGAAGATCAAATGAATAAATTAAAAAAAAAAGGCTTTGCAGTCTCTTTATAGATTTCCTGTGCTGGCATGAGGGGCCAGACACCTGTCTCCTAAGATTGCCTTGTTTTTGATTGAAGTTTTGATATAATAGCCAAAATGCATTTGTAATAGGCACTGCTGTGGGAACTCCATAAATGATTTATATTAATAAAATGTGTGCTGTATGTATAACTTAACTGAAAAACAATTTAAATCACAAATCTTCTTTATCAGATTCCATTTCCCGGGTCCCTGTGGTACTACGCTGCCCCCAGCCATAGCCTGTAAAGAAACTGAGATCACCTCTTGAATGTTTATGAGAACTAAAAAGGAGAAAAACTACAATTGCCTATTTCAGTAATGGTGCAAATGTAAAAGGAACCTGTTCTCCTTTGGAAAACGCCTTGCCTGAAACTGAACAATGGAATCTGAAGATGACGTTGAGCAAAATAAATCATGATTCTCAGATGACGAGAATGAGCAGTGGAAAAGGATGATGGACAGTGACAGGAAAAGTGGTTATCGCTTTTTTGGGTGGGGGAAATCATGTGAATTGAAAGTATAAATATACAAACTGCTCAAACATATGAAAAAGATATTTGTACTCTATAGAGTTTTCAGATTGTATCTTGGATAAATGTTAAGCAAAACAAGGATGTTACCATTATTCATATTTCACAAAATTATCTTCTGAAAACGAGGGTAAAATTCTGAAAATTTTAAGAATAAGCTAGCTTTTAATACAGCCTACACTCCAGTACTTTGCAGGAAATCAATAAACAAAAGTATTCTTTGCTATGAGATGATGCTAATGGGTTCACGATTGTAAGCAATATAAAAATAGTAGATTAATAACTTCAATTTGCATATGGTTGCCTATTTTAATTTCACTTCCAGAGCTGAAATATATGTATGAACCTAAACACAGTTTTTAATTCTTTGCTGTCCTGAGGCACTAAAATAAATTAATGCCTTTTTAATTGATTAATATTGTTTTGTTGATCAAAAGGTGAGGCTATATTATTTCATGTTAGCAGGTGGTAGACAGTAGGCTGGTTTTTTTTTTTTTTTTACTTCTGCCCCTTATTAGAGTAACACTGATAAACACATTGAATGGGAATGAGCTTGATATACAAACACTCTGAAGCAGACATAGCAATATTTTATCTGCATGACTTAATAGGTTCCATTTTATAATTTAATATTCAGACTAGGTTTGATTAAATGGAAAGCAATGCTCATCAAAGGTCTGCTTCTGCTACAGGAGAGCATGGAGAGGTAAATGTTTTGCGGCACATGGTTCCTCATGAAAAACTTCTGTGGAATGTGGAAAACAATTAGCAAAGTGGTTTCCTGCCCCTTCCTCCACTTAGGATGCTCTGGTGGTTTCTTCCACAGTTAGCCATACTGAATGCCTGTAACGTCATGCATTTTTATAGAGATGCCATTAGCCGAGGTTGTTCCCCTCCTTTTTAGCAATCATTTTGGGTGGGTGAACTGGAAAGAAGATAAATTTCTCAGATCCTAAAGTTGCAAGGGGCCAATCTTGCTCAGTTTAAAAATCCAGATTAAAGCACTCCACTGAAATTGGTATCAAGCCTGGGATCACATCCACTATCTCTTTGGATTAGTGATGTAACAAAAAGATGTAGAAAGCATAAATAAGATTTCATAATTGTAAAATCCTAAAAGCAATACAATCCTAAAAGTAAGACAGCATTTTCTTATGGTAGCTGTAATAATTGTGCTTGTCTGACCATATAAAGCACAATCATGCTCAGAACAAGTGGAACTTCTGCTAGCAAGTGCCATTATGAGGGTGGGCTACAACTTGCTGTAGAAAGAACAACAAAGGAGTAGGTAGTGTTTCTAGTTTCTCCAAATGACAAGGGCAAAGTTCACTCTGCAAAAGAGGTATTGTTATACATATATCATGGAAAACCAGATATAAAGCAAGTCAAAGAAAGCACCATAGGAACAGGTAATATCAAGTATGTAATCTGTTGATTCAAAGACTTTTTGTTTTATGTCCTGTCACTCACTATTGGTTACCTGGATTGCCCTGGTCCACCTGGATAGACTTATTGAAGACGTGCCAAATTAAAGTTCTAGCTTTTAATAGCTCCAAGGCTAGCAGAGGTTGGTATGAGAAAGAACACTAGCATAGCTAATTGTGGATTCTAGTTTTCTGGAAAGAGGAAAAAAATTGTCAGAGTCGTAAGAATCATTGGAAAAATGAACACGCCAGCAGTAGAGCCAACACATGTAGATTCTTGGCAACAGGATCACCTCAGTTTTAAGTGGATTGCTGCATTTGAAACATAGCAAGGTACCCAGGGTATCTAGGTTGGATGGTATTTTAAGGGCTTAAAAACAATAATTCATATAATGAAAGCCAAGTAACATCTGGGAAATGGATCTGATTTTAAAAGGTCTTATGGCAGTGAGTATGAACTTACTTTCTCCAGTATAAAAGAAACTCATAGGGCTTTAGCTCCTTCCAGCTTTCTTCATTGGATTTTCCTTCCAGGCCTGCTTGCTTGCTTATTTATTTATTAATCTTATTTAGAGACTGTCCATCTCACTCTTTGAGCGACTCTATGATCTGGTCTTTTCTAAGCCTCTTCCAATTTCTCTGAATCTTAGTACTCAGAACTGGAACAGTACTTGAGATGGAGCCCCTGACCAAAGGAAATTAGAATACGATTTGGAAATATTGCTTTCCCTGATGCATGTTCCTTTTCTCTAGTAAATTGGTAGTTTTTTCACAACTACACTTAGCAAGATATCTCTGTCTTATGTTTGTGCATTTGATCAATTTCCTAAGGATTTTGTATGTTTGAAATGTCAAGTTATTTTCAGCCCTTTCACTAAGGTCATTTTAAATTTTATGTCCATAAAACATTCTAATGTCTCACCCAGAAATTGCTAAATATTCTCTTCTTTTCATCTAAGACAGTCTTAATAAAAACACTGAAGAGTAGTCAGGCAGTGGGCTGAGCCTTCTGAAGCAGGCAGGCCTGCCAAGAGCCAGGGTGGTGAGGTGGCAGCTACAAGAGGCCAAACACAGTTTTATTTGTTTTCCTGACAGAACAATTAATCAATGGAAAGACTTGCCTGCAGAACATGTGAGTGCTCCAAAACTGGAGGTTTTTAAGAAGAGATTGGGCAACCATTTGTCCAAAATGATATATCCTGCTTTAGGACTAGAAGACCTTCAAGGTCCCTTCCAGCTATTAACTCTGTTATTCTTGTTACTGTGCCCCTGCTCTGTGGGGCTTGAGGATGGCCAATGGCAGTCCACTGAACAGGAAGTGAAGAAGATAATGGTCAGCTGGGAAAAGAGGGAGGCAGCAGCAGGTAGATGGTGGTGGCCGAATACAGTCTTGTCTTCATCTTTGCCAGTCTGTGCAGGATGCCAAAAGAGAGAGATGGGGAGGAGATAGGCAGGTGGTGGAGTTGAAGCAAAAACAGTTTGTTCAGGATGGAAAAAGTGAGAAATCCCTGCCTATATGACTACTTAGTCCTTGTTTAATCACTGCAACACAACTGTTGTTAAGCAGCATGGTCACTTGATGTTTTAACAACTGCTTTGGTTAGAAAAAAATTCTGATCCATTAAATAAGGATTATCTGTAATGGGATTTGCACCCTTTCAGGCTGGTCTATGTCTCCTACAATAGAAGAGGAAATGGATCTGAAATGGGGGTTTCAGAGCAGTTGTGATTGTCTACTGCTGTGTCTATCAGGAAATACAAGGTGGCAACACAGACCAAAATAAATAAACTTTTATGCAGTCTTTCGGTGTGTTAAATTTGCCACGAGAATACTGAAATCAATTGCCTTCCTAACATGGTAGTGAGAAGAGCTCAGAGCAAAGGCTTGGCAGTAGATTGTGCAAGTTATTTTTTTCATACAACATTGAAGCCAGGATGCAATGAACCCTAATGAACTGTCCAGCTGTTCCAATCTGCTAATGGAAAAGCAGTCAGCAATTTTCCATTGTGTTTGGGGAAGGTTGTTACATTTGGCCGGCCAAACTCTAGCGGTCGTCTGACTTTTCGGTCCGATTACAACAGCCCGGGTTTTGGACTACACTTCCTACCACTCCAACTATCACTACCTTAGTTTGCCGTTCAAGATGAAGGCGGGCGATTTAGAAAAAAAACGTTCATCCAAAGCACAGACAGACACACCGAAAGGGCACGAGCCGGACCCGCTATTCATTTTGGGAAGAGCGAGAAGCATAAAACGCTTCCATTGGTGTAAGAAAAATGTCCGAACCTACATTTTGGGTTCTTCTTTCCCGTGGTCCTTATAAAAACTCTTTAGTTTTAACGCACAGTTGCAGGTATTTTACACTGTACATTGTTTCTGTTGTCTCCACAAATCACCAGCGAGATGGTTTTGTTTAAAAACTCTCTAATACGGAGAAAAGAGGTTGTCTTCCGGGCATTTTAAAATTCTATTTTGACAGCTCCCTTCCTCGGAATACGAAGGGAAGTAGGCCGATTGCTTCCGGCGATAGAGTTCGAAGTTAACCGGAAGTTAGGTTAGCAAGATGGAGGCGCACGCTGGTGGCGCTACGGCGATGGAGGAAAGAGAACCGGCGGTTGTGGCCGCCGCTGCCTTTTCCGACGGGGAAGAAAGCGACGAGGCCCCAGAGGAGGTGACTTTCGAGAGGGCGCGGGAGGCCGCTGTGGAGGAGCGCCGGCTGGCGGGGGAGCGCGCTCGCAGGTAACACACAAGCCTTCCGGCACCCCTGGCGAGAACCGGCGCACCAGGGGCAAGTGGGGAGGGCAGTTTCGGAGCGGCCTCACCGCCCTGCCCTGCCGATTGCACGCCCTCCTGGGAGCGCTTCCCCGGCACAGCAAGGCAGAGAAGCCAAAAGCAAACCGAGGCAGCGGGAGGTTGCATTTAAAGTCAACGCAGCCGGATTTTTCAAGAGTGGCCCTTTGTCCGATACTGTCAACGCTGATTTTTCTGGCCAGGCTTTCTGTAGGAATTTCCCTTCCCTAACTCCACTCACCATTGTCTTTGGCCTCATTATTTATGTAAGCAATTGTAAAGCTGCCTCTGGTACCCAGAGCACTTGAGGGCGGGACAGGATGGAAACTTATAAAAAGAGAGACCCAACCTAGAACTCAGGTGACCCTGATGACACAGATAAACCTCAGGTGACCTCAATGACTCTCTAAAAGAATGCAAATGACCAGCTGTCTGCAAGAAATAAAAATCCTTCCATTCCCCACCATCCAATCAGAGCTGAAGAATTTTGTTGGATGAGAAGTGAAATATCTTCAAAGAAAAACAAGAAAGTCCACTTGCTTTGTGAAAAAGCATTTTTGGGACAACTATGACCTGGTTGATTGAGAATCTCCATAGAAACTTAGAACTATGGAGAAGTTTCCTGACAGTGAGAACAATTAATCAGAGGAATGGCTGGCCTCCAGAAGTTGTAGGTGCTCCATCACTGATTCTTTCTAAAAAGAGATTGGACAACCACTTGTCCGAAATGGTTTAGGGTCTCCTGCTTGAGCCGGGGGTTGGACTTGAAGACCTCCAAGATCCCTTCCAACTCTGTTACTCTGTTAGTGTTCTGGGTGATCATGCACATTGCAAGAATAAAGATTGTAACCATTATGACACATCCCAGTAGCCATTTTTTTAAAAAAGAAAAACCTCCCTTAATTACATCACCTTGTACATAGGCAACACTTTGTGAAAGCATTCAGCTTTAATTATGGAGAAAATGCATATTTTTTAATTCATGTCTTATTTTGCTTTCTTAGAGAAAAGGCCTTACTGAAAGAAAAGAGACGACACAGAGAAGAACTATTTAAGGAACAAAAGGTAATTTTGCATCTCATGTTCATAATTCTTTAGATTGCTTGAAATGCTAATTATACTTATCATGCTTTGTTAAACATAAAAAGGTTCAGACGTGTTTACATCCTACCTAGGAATAAATTTCATTACAATTTATATCATGTTTCACTGTAAGTTTGACTACATATACAGTCTTCTGATTTTGTTGAAATTATTGAACAAGGATTTGTCTTAATGAAAAGCTATGTAAGTGTTGCTATTGTACTTCCAAGTTCCAGTTACCATTTTAAAGTGGCCTTTCTTAATGCGTCCTCCAAATGAACTGGACTTGATTGAGGATGATATGAGTTTTGTTCAGAGTGTCCAAAGAGAACCAGACTGGGCAAAGCCCTTTTAAGCAATGAAAATGATAAGTAAATGTGCGCTGAATGCAATAAATCATACAGAAGTGAACTATTCTTAGGGATTTATTTCTCACCATGAAAACACTTTATACTATCAGGATATGTGGCAGTTTGCAAAAGTAAACCCCTTGGTGATATTATTACAATCTGAAAGTAGGTGATTCTGAGACAATAACAAGCAACTTATTACACACAGATTTTCGGCTTGCATCACAAGTGATCAAGGATTTTGGGAGTTATAGGTGGGAAATATCTGGAGGGTACTATGTTTCGGTACCATTTCAATATGTGCTTGATTTAATTATTACATTATTGTTATAATGTAGTTATGTTTTCATAAGATTTGTTGCCTTAAATTAACTAGATCTACAGTTTATAATTAACAAAAATTATTATATAGGACTAAGTTAATGTCTAGAAATAGTATTAACTAGAAAAATTTTATCTTCTCAGAAAAGAAAGTTGCTTCCTGAAAACATCTTGGAGGAATTAGCATCCACACCCAAAAGGTAGACAAATATGTTCTGGGCTACATGTGACTATTCTAGGTTTTGAGCTGCATTTTATCTTTGTCTATAATCCTGAGAAATAGTTAATTCCATCATTTCTCTCAGGCTTGATTTTCCATAAATGACAGTACTATGTGTTTATCAAATTGTATTACAGGTAGGCCTTGACTTACAATCATTCAATTTAGTGATTGTTCAAACTTATAACGGCACTGAAAAAAGTGAGTTATAACTATTTTTCACACTTACAACTGTTGCAGCATTCCTATGGTCACATGATCAAAATTTGGACAGTGGCAACTATTTCCTATTTATGATGGTTGCAGTAACCTGGGGTCATGTGATCACCTTTGTGATCTTTTGACAAGCAAAGTGAAGCCAGATTCACATAACAACTGTGTTACTAAACAACTGCAGAGATTCACTTAACAACTGTGGCAAGAAAAGTTGTAAAATGGGACAAGACTCACTTTTTTGCTTAGCAACAGAAATTTTGGGCTCCATTGTGGTCGTAAGTCAAGGCCACCCATGTAAGGCATTTGTGAAACTAAAAGTAACTTATGATGTAAGAAACAGCTTGAAATCTTTTTCTGTTAATGAGTCAAGTACTTGACTATTTTTATACCTACCTGAAAGAAATTATTTCCTCCAGTTCAAAAATTTCTGTCAATTTCTGAAAAGAAAGAGTGTGAGGAATTTACAATCTGTCATATGAAATTCATGTTTTAGTTAGCTCAGTATTGATAGTTTGCATGTAAATGACGTTTTATTCATAGATTATGAAATCTCTTCCTAATAGTTATGCAACTTTTCTTCCTTTAGCACAAATCAGACATCTGATGAGCAAGGTATGTATAAAAGTCTACTTTTTGTTATCTCTACTGTGTTCTTTATCATATTGTGAATATAGTATAAAATGTGTCTTGAGATCCATATTCCATCTAATACAACAGGCTAAGTGTCAAATAGAGAAGCTGAGCAGAGTGATTTGAAAAAATATAAAGTAATATTTAATACATGAAATAGATGAACACATAAAATACCTTGTCTCTGATGCCCATACAGATGTTTCTAAAAGGTTAGAATAATGATGTGAAAGCTTTTAGTCAATAAGACAGTACTCTACATACAAAAATATTACTGTTCCTTAATATTGATCTGTAAATACTTCTATGCACTTTTTTTTTTAATTTGACATTTGTGTAATCCCATTCTATTCAGATAAAAACCAAGTTGATTGTTAAGAACAATTTGCTGTGGGACATCATGTAAATCTAGGTTAGCAGAGTTATCTCCGTGAACAAGTACAAGTGAAGGACTCTGGCTTTATCCTTGTAGAAGTCAGAGGAAAAAGTTAAGCAAGAGTTTCTAGAATCTTGATTTAAAATTTGTTGAAATATATTACTTTCATATGGCTTTTAAATTCAGCACATATATTGATTTATAGATCAGAATGTTGAAGATGAAGTTGAAAATCAAGAAGATTCAGAAAAAGACTCAAAAGAAGAAAGTTTGGTAGCAAGGTATGGCTTAGATTAGCCTTCCCAATTTTGGATGCCCTCTGGATGTATAGACCAAGTCTCTGAATTTCTTGACCAGCATGAGGATAATTCTAGATATAGAATTCTGTACTTAAGAGGACCCCAGGTTTAGCAAGCCTTGGTTGTTCTTATTTAGTATAATGGACTTAGTTATTAAGTAATTTCAAGAAAAGCTCACATCTTTGCAAAATCTGATTTCCTTATTGTTCCTCCATGTGGTTAGAATATATGAAATTTATTCTCAAATAAAAGCAACATTCTCATTTAGGCAGTTGTAGATACATTTGTTCAAATCGTTGAGATGTCCTCTACTTTCATAATGTTCCAAAATAAATTACTTTAAGAAGAGAGGCCACTGTTAGTTAAAATGGAAGTCACTCTTACATTAACCTTTAGAAATATTTTGTTTTAGCTTCAAAAGGTTCCTATAGCTGTAGAATTGATGTGGTGCATGGCAAAGAAGCCTATATTATGGATGGTGGGGCTTTGTAATAATCTAGAGTAATTCTTAAATGTTGTAATAAGCATATTTGCCATTTCACATTCATTTTATTTGAAGCAGTTTTTTTTGCAATAGTGTAAACCTGAAAGTGTCAATATCATGGAAATCATTGGCCTCAGATGCACCATTGCAACTGAGGTACCAGTTGCAGACAAAGGGCAAACTGTGTAAGTGGCACCACTGTATGTAAACTAAATATCAGAAATAGCAAAACTCTTGATAAGCTTGAGTTTAGTTTTACTTCATGCTGCAACTAGCAATTCTTCAAATTAAACTGCTTAATCTGAACCTAAATGAGCCATATCTACCTACCGGTACCTACTATTCTTAGTTTATTGTAAACCTGCCCAAAGTCTTGGGAGTTGGAACAGTCCTGCCCAGAGTCATGAGAGTGAGGGAGTATGTAAATACATAAATAATTGAAATATATTTAGATGTTACTTTGTTTGCATGTTATTGCTTTATTTGGTCAATATGGCAAAAAAACAGGGAATGTGGTTTTGCTTCTGTAAAATGAAGTAGAAAACCAAGGCATTAAATATATTAACTGTTTCTTTATCATTAGGTGCCCCCCAAATTATATGGCTGTACGGTTAAAAGACCAGGAGCTAATCAGTCAACAGCAACAGGAAGCCAAAGACTTTATACAAAGACAGCTTTATGGAGCAAGCTGCAATCGAACTACTGGTAAAGGAGTTTTGCATAATGAACTTACAAAATATACCGATTGTGTGACAATTATAATTTAGTTAAATCCCTCTTGTTATTCCAGCAAATCAATATTTTTCTGTTGAAAGCAAGAAAAAAACAGTTAAAAAAGCTGCAATCCAGTTTGTGAATAAATCTTGGGGTAAGATGATATTCCTTTATTTGTCTTACAGCAACAATTTAAAAGTGCTTTTATTGACTTCAATATTTTAATCTCAGGTTTTGCATTGTATGCCCCTTTTTCTTTTAACTGAAGAACATATACTAAAAGTGAAAATCTGGTCCAAAATAACTGCTCTAGTCATTTTGAAGGACTTCTATCAAAATGGTAATTTTCTACATACTCCCACATACGAAAACAAAAATACAGTCAAGTATAACATAAGCACAAGTAGCTAAAGATGTTTGTAACATGACATTTATACCCCTGGAATATGATTAAGAAGCCTGAATGTTGAAATTGAATGATAAAGCTGTCCATGTAATTTAAGATAAGAGCTGTTTACTTCTGAGCATATTCAAGATGCCTTACCATTCAAAGCACTTGTGGTCTTGGAACAGGCACACGTGACAGCACATATAGTCCATTTTAGTTCATTTTAAAAAGCAAACGGGGTCCGACCTGGTAATAGTTGGAGTCGAGACCATCAGGAGATTCCAGGATTGTAGGCTCCCATGGAAAGTGAAAGGGAAAAAATGCAGAAGGTAGCAGATATCAAACTGCTTCAGTATTTTTTCCAGGAAGTTTAAATAGATGTGTTTATTTGAGAATTGTAATTTATATATAAGGCCATGTAAATTTGTGAAGGGTCAAAGACCTGAATGAAAACTTTTTTAGTTTGCAAATCCTGTAAAGGCTTCCTAGGAACAATACACATTTTTTTATTTATTTCGATAAAATTGGAGAGTGAGTTCTGATATTAGTAGTTGTCCGATTCATCGACTAGATACCAGGTGAGGAATAAAAGAGGCAAAGTACCTTGTCTCTGTGGGCTACCAAATCCATGACGTTACAGAAAGGTACAGAAAACAATCTCAAATTCTAGATATGGAAGGAAGACTTTTTTTCCCTTTCTGCTTGATTTCCATAAAATGAGCATAATGGCAATCCCAAGCAAATTGTTCAATGCTGTAGATGTATAGTTTTAGTTGGTTTTTTTATCGATTGTTGAGAGTGAATGGAAAATATTTTCTTAAATGGGACAGCTCAATCAGTGAATCCAAGCTTTTATGGAACCTACAGCAACAATTTTACTACTACTGAATTCTGTTTTCAACTGTTTGTTTTCTTGTTCCTAGGTAAAGTAAAAAAAGAAAAAGCTACTCGGTTTACAAAACATTGGGTATCTTCAAAAATAATTCCCTGAAATATTTTGCTGTTGCTTATGTACAATATCACTGCAAAATGTCTTGTATTTGAATTATATAATGTCCTTGCTATTGTTTTATATATTAACATTTTTATGATTTCTGTCTTCATTTAAAGAGAATTAAAAAGGATAACCTAAATTAGGATCTTGCAATGGTATGTTCCAACTAAAAGTAATTTTATCTGGGTCTTTTTAACTCAAGCTACATTTTTGATTGAATGAGAGATCATTTTCTTAAATATTTTTGATACTCTTTTTGCGCAAGCATCTTTTAACATTGCCTCTCCTACATCCGTAAATTGACTTACTAATGTACCCAGGATATCTTTTTGGAAGTACACTCTAGTTGTAAAAAGAAGATATATCTTGAAATAATTTGTATATAGGTTTGCAAATATGGGAAATATTACCCAAAACATTGAATTTAGTTTTCCGGAAAATAATTCCCATGGAATTAGTAAATGATCCAACAAGTAGGCTGTCTGTGTGCCTATGGCAGTGTTTCCCAAACTTGACAATTTTAAGGCATGAGGACTTCAACGCTGGCTGTGGAATTCTGGGAGTTGAAGTCCACATGCCTTAAAATTGTCAAGTTTGGGAAACACTGGCCTATGGGAACCACAAGCAAGATGTGAGTCAGTAGGAATTCCTAATTCATTAACAGCCTGTCCCTATAGCTCACCTATTAAGATGAGAGGCATAGCCAAATGGTCCAATGCAAGAAGTCAGCAGAGAATACTTACAATAGGCAATGGTATAGTTATAATCCAGTCCTGAATTTCTTTAAGAGTCAACACCAACAGCAAAGCAGGTCCAAAGGATTTATAGAATGCTATGCCAGAGCAAAAATCAGGTTGACAGGAAATTTATTTCATGTTTGGTTCCTTTCCAATAAAAAAAAAATTAAAACTTGTAACCTGATGTCCTTCATCTGAATGAATTTTATACTGATCAGAAGTAACTGTAGAAATTGAGCTAAGCAGACCACTATTCTTAAGATGTTCAGTAATTGGGCAAGCCCTTTTTTCTTTGCCCTTTGTCTCTTGATACGGTAATCCCATAGTTCTTGTAGCCCAGATGTACGAATCGATCTGAATCCTGGTTAGAATTAGGTAATGGAAGGTGGCTCCACTAAGAGCTCAGTATTATTCCCTGATATCACTGGATTATATTAATGTGGCTTTTTACTCAAATTCTGTTGTCCCTATTCCTCCAAGGGAATTGGGATAACTGCTGGTATTATATGTCAAGTCATTGCTGACTCTTAGCAACCATATAGATTTTATCTGTCCCTAACCTGATGCTTCAGATCTCTCAGCAGTGGTATATTAATTGCACTGTGTCTGGATCCATCCTTTTTCATCCACTTTTCTAATAGTTCCTTGTCCAGAGTGCTGTCTTATGCCCAGAGTAGGATCACTAGAGTCTGTTCATTGGCAGCTCAAGTTAGAACTCTGGGTTGATTTACAGTATGTGATTTATTTTTTGGCTGTCCACAGTAGTCTCAAGAGTCTTCAACAAGTGTCCATACTCTTCCTATCCAACTTTTCAAAGTTCAAAGATACATAATTAGGAAGCTAACATGTATTAAATCTAGTGATTATTGTATTCAGAGCTGATCACATCACCCCTTCAAATTTGGAGACTCAATGGATTGACTTTGCAGAAGCTGAAACTCTGTAGCTTTACATCTATAGCTGTAACGAAGGGGTAGGCTGAGTAACAAAATGGGCTGTGATGCTGATAATGATAGCTAGCCAATCTTCACCTTGCAAATTCTGCCTATCACAGCCTTGGGAAAGTACTGCCCTGCTACCAATGTTGCACTTTTCATTAGATTTTTTTTTTTTTAATTTGCTTGGAGACATACAAGATTTACACTATTCTTTTCATTCTATGAATAGACCTGAGCTAGTATGCTGATAAATTGCTGCAAATGATATACCTTCTTTACAAAATAGAGCATAATATAGGTAAAACAATCGTGCTCAAGTGGGGCATAATCCAAAATTGTCAGGAGGCGCTAATGTTGCCTATGAGCCAAGAAATCTGTCAAGTCAGAAAAGCAAATAATTTAAGAGCATGGTACAGTGAGACCAAAAGGCTTACCAAACAAAAGCATCAACAGTTTTTTATGAAGTTGGACCATTTTTGCCCAATGTAAGTTCTTTACTTGATAATTCAGGAACATTTCCTTGCCACTGCATTAAGAGGAACAGGTTGATTATTTCAAGATCTATCCTGGTGAAAGCATAAAGCTTTCCTGGCTTAATATCTGAAGGAACTGCTATCCCTGCTATTTTCATTCTCTTCAGACAAAAATAATGAAGCAAATGCATGCATTTTGATTCTTTCCTATTATAGGATAATGTCACATCTTGTAAATGTCCTAATGTTGCTGCCATTAATGTCAAATATGAAACAAATATTAGCTCATATGTAGACCCCGTTGCATAAAATATAGGACAAGTATAGGGCAGGACCTATGAGAATCACATTTTGGGTATCCATTGCCTTCACTTGTTGACACTTGGTATAAGTAAACATTCTGCTAACCACTTACACAACTATTTCTGCTTTTATATCAGCTATGTATACTTATAAAAAGCAAAAAAACTGCAATAATTCAGGGCAATTAATTTTGTTTCATCAGCCTTAGGTCATAACAATTTTAGTCCAGGATAGTCACTTGACATAGCAATCATATTTAAAAGGTGAAAGATTTATATGATCTGAAGAGAAACCAGAGTATTTAAATATTTAAATTTAAATATTTAAATTTTATCTACTTGAATCCAAAATACAACGGAAGCAGAAAAATAAGGTAGCAATCCTACCATATGTAAATATTTAATGGCTGATTAATTATGGTATCACTACATTTTATTGCAATAGAGTACTCATGTAAGCACTTTTTAAAATGCAGGGTGTACAAAGATTAAATTAAGACTGAAATTGACTAAATATTTGGTTTTTATATAAATAGGCCATAACCACACTGTGTTGACATGTAATACTGTTATAATACAACAGTTAACGGGTGAGTCTACAACATAAGTTGTTTGTAGTTAAACAGGAAACAGAGCTGAAACGACCATGTTAAAACAAAAACCACTAGGAAACAGGTTGAGATTGTAAGTAGCAACAAACATATTCACTCAGCTCCTGAGTATTTCAAGTTTTACAGTACACATTAAAAATATTTCTTCCCATCAATACTATACAGCCAAACTGTCAGGTACATATGCAGTTTGCAAATTACATTGATTGATCTATGTAATGAGGGTGAAAGTTGGCAAATTATCCTGCTTGAAGTTTACATCACCCACGTACTAACACATCCACAACATTATCTATTTTGCTCTGCCCTCCAGGAAGGCAGAACTTTTTGGTTTGTTTGTAACAATTCAAAGGTTTTTCAATCTGATGTTACTGATGGTATTTAACTCTGGTTAAAGATGGAAAATATCTCCTAACAGTAATTTAGAAAACCATTTGCATCATGCTGTAAACTAGGAAGCAATGTAAAGCAACAGACCTGTCCTTAGTACATAATTAAAAAAATCCAAACTCCAATTGGCAGAGTTGGTCTACTTTCGTGTTGAATATATGCCACATTATACACCTTGGACATCTTCATATGCATAGCTAGTGTAGATAATCTTCCACTGTGGCAAATGCACAGGATCCAATTCCTGATCGGGCCATCAGACCTAGACACTGTGAAGCCTGTCCCATTGCGAGAGCAAGAGGAGGTTGCTTTGGTAGATTGTGTGTCTCTGAAAAAATTCAACAATGCACTATTTTAACTTGTTTTACTTCTCAAAAAATTATTACACTAATATTTCTACCTAACTCAAATAACTTATTTTCAAAATTACTGAATGGAATGTTAATTCCAAACTAAATAGTAGTTCACTATGCAGACCATCTCAAATCATAAAATGTTAATGCCTCCAATATTTAGTGAATATTAATAAACTCTTGATAGAAAGTTCTGATGTTCGTGAAAGAGTATGCCCATTTGTATCCTCTCAACTAGTAAATGCAAAGGTGCTCAGCCTGGGTGACACAGTACCTGAATTCCAAGACTGCTTATGGAATGATACCAATTATTTTGGGTGTAATACAGCAATCCTTAGTTTCTAAATCAGTAGCTGAAATGCCATTATATTTCATATTTCCCTATGACTAGAGGAGTGAAAAAGGGTGGGGTAGAGTAGGGGAGAGAGTGAAATGGCTCTCCTATTCTGGCTGCTTACAAGCCTCTGCTTATTTGTAGATGATACATCATGGGTTTGATAATAAATGGCAGTCTCAATGGCGTATGGTACATTTATTTTTTTATAGCCATTCCTCTAAAAAAGTATCAGAAATTCCAGAATTTCCTTCAATAATCAAGTAATTGTGTTTTCTCTGTGTTTAATGTACCTTAACAAGTTTGTATGAAGAAGGAAACTAACAGACTTACCTAGTATTGCACTGTTGAGAACTGAACATACAGGCTCTCTCTGAATAGGATCCAACTGATTTCCAACTGGACTATTCCACGGATCAGAATATGCAAGTAAACTGAACGCATCCTGTTGAGAAAACAAATCTTAGAAATTAGTGGCGGGATAGCCATTTATTCTGGAAGCTTCAACTTAGATTACTGCATAAAGCAGGAGAATAGACTTCGTGACTTAAATGAGCCCTTCTGTCTATGATTGTATGAACTGTGTCATGACATTTACGTTGTTCTTCCTACTGAAATAAATTAAGACTATTTTCAGTATTACTTTTTACCTTACTCAGATCAAATTTAAATCCCTCACTGGATGCATCATAATATTTCCCAAAATGTACATTTGAACTATTTATACCCATTCCCTTTATTATCCCCAACAGATGTCACTTCTGTGTAATAATAATAGTTTCTAGTATTAAACCTCAATAAAGACTGGTGCTAGTTAAGAATAAAAAGAAGGCAAATATTTAATATCCTGCAACCGATCCTAATAGGACAACTGCATTCCCTTCAGTACAATTCAGTCTTCCCATCACTTACACAAAAGGAAAAGCCAGCATAATCTCATGCTATCTACATTTTAAGTACCAAGAGAAGAGAATTAACTTAGCTCAGTGTTGAACTGTGGAGATTTTGCGCTCTTTGAGCTTGGTTGTTTAATTGTAGACATTTCATTACCCAAGAAAGTAGAATCATCAGTATGAGTAAGTATGGGGTTTGCTCTCTGTTTATATAGCTTGCCTTGCCAGTTTTAGTGTGTGTGGGGGGGAGGGGGGGTAGTTTTCTCCTTGGTAATTCCTTGATTTCTGCTTGATTGTTTCCCTTAATTAATCCTTCTTTATCTGAATGTTAGCTGCTGGAGAGGATATGTTCTGGTCTTTTTGTTTCCTTCCTAGTGTTTTTTATTGTGTCTTTTGAATAGCATGTAAACGTGGTTTATTTCTATGGGTCTACTGATGGCTGATTTGTCTGAATGCCAAGCTTCCAGATATCCCTAACATTTCTGGATTTGGTTTGGTCTAGGATTGAAGAGAGACAATAAAAAAGCTAAGGAAGAAACAAAAAGACCAGAACACATCCTCTCTAGCAGCCAAAGACCCAGATAAACAGGGATACACACCAGTCAAGCAATCAAGCAAAATATAGTGTCCTAATCTAGGAACTACTGAGAAGAAAGCCACATCCCCATCAAAACTGGAAGGAAAAGTTACTATATATAAGTAGGGAGCAAACCCCATACTTACTCGTATTGATGATGTTACCTAATTGGCTAATGAAATGTCTCTGCAAGCAAACAACAATTTCCCTCTATTATACATCCCCTTACATTGTATAAATGGAGTAAAATCTAAACCTACCATATTATTAGCAATTTCTCTACAAAAGTGACATGACTTACTTTGAGC